AACAGTCTATAACCGATCTAGAGCCGATCATTGATGTTATTGTTGTTGTTATTTGTTTGTTTTTGTTTTCTGTTTGTTTGTTTTTATTATTCTATGATGTGTTCAGATTTCCTAAGACTTCTTTCTTGCTGCAATATGGAAAATGTTGGAATATGGTGTGCTAGCGCTTTTAAGAACATGCCTGGACTTTTCGGCTGCATTGAGGCAGTTGTTAAGGAACTCGATGAGGCTGCTGAAGGGCTAGTAACAGTTGTCATAGTTGGCGATGGCACTGCATAATTGGAGAAAAAAGAGAGAAAATGTTAAATTGTTTCATTATGCGCAAAGATAGAGATACGCTTTAATGAGAGATGATAACAATTAATAAAAAGTGAAAAAATAAAAATAAAAGAAATAAATAAAACACCAAAGAAGCCCTCCAGCCATTGTGGGCACAGGACCCGTTTATCGTAATTCCTGGTAATTTGAAGATCTAGGTTTAGAGAGTTTAACAAGCTATACTATCAATTGACCTCAGTTACGCTGTGTAATTAGTTGACAAATTAACGGACTTGTTGGCTAGGTCCCGCGCTTTTAGCTTGTATACTTATATTTGTCTTCCACCGAAGAGGTTCCCCCGAAACACTATAAATGTTGGTTTGATGTATCGCATTTCCTCGAATAATAGCCCGGGGGCGATTGCCATTCTCATCGTCATTATTATTAGAGACGATCATTCGAGGGACGCGATTATTTCAGATATTGTTCACTGGAAGTCGTGCTCTAATATTTTTTGTTTTATTATCCCATTAAGTAAATTAAAAAAAAACAGTAATAAATAAAATAAAGTTATTTTTTTTGTTACCCAACTTCTTTATTTATTAAACACCTTACTATTTAAGAGTTTGATAAAATAAAGAAGTTGGCTAACAAAAAAATAACTTTATTTTATTTATACATTTGCCAAATAGAATAAATATTATAGAAAAAAAATACTAAGATTTTAATCTTCCACAATAGCAGTAATGATGTCGTGATGAACAAGTTGCTACTTTTGTGAAATTAGAAAAGCTTGCCAGGGAAAGATATGAGATAATGAATATAACATTATTGTGAAAGTACTAAACGGTATAGATGGATCCACTTTGTTCCAGCTAATCCTGATCCAAGAAAATACCTGCACAGTTGACTTGCTAATGATGCTGTTGACGTCTTTAGAGCATTTGCTGCTGATGAATCTGCTGAAGATTATTTTGAAACGATTAATTAATTTGCTTTTTAAAACTCTACATATCTGTTCTTTTTTTTTTGAGTTTTTGTATTTCACGATGGGTCAGCCGCATGCAAAACCTAAACTATTCTTCCTTCTATTGTATTATGGTTAATTAAGGTTTGTTACAGGGTTGTAGAACACGTTACACTTAATCCATAAAAATAGCAAGTAGAGAATAAAGAAAAGGGAAGGAAAACATAACAAAGACAAAATGGCGAAAAAACAACTCAACATATAGAGTTCATTAATGTTCATTCATCCCCCAGGCTAATTTTTCATATGCAACTGACGCTTGAGGGACCACCATGTGATAACCATTTAAATTTGGATCCATTTTAACTGATCACAACATAAAACAAGGCTAAGTTTTAATTCTTGGATTCAGTTGTAAAATCTTCTTACGAGCAACATATTAAAGCCTACAAGGTATCCTTTCAAATCTGCCACTCGGAGCGCGCTTAAAGCTCTCGGATATCTCACGTCATTCTTTACGATGCCAAATAATGAAAAATGAAAACAATACTCCATCGATTTAATAGTGTATTTGTTTGGAGACGAGATTGATCAAAATCTTGGCCTGGAAACGAGGCTGCTTAAGCAATATACCATCGACCAACCTCGTATACATGCGCGGCCGCCGAGCTGTTTATTCATGAGTAAATGAAAAAACATGACGTTCAGAGCTATCCGAGGAGGAGATAGCTGACTTTTTGACTTTACTGATGAATGGACGAATAAAAAAAAGGGAGAATACACAAGAGTCACACAATGCATATTACTCGATAGATGTTGTCTACCTTTTGAGGAGTTTCTGCACGAAAAAATACGTCTGTTTATATCCTGATACCATGCCAAGAAACGGGCCAAAGCTTTAAAGAAAGTTTACGAGGAGGTAACCTTTTTAAGGACTTAAAATACTTTGAAGGAATAAAAAATAATTACCAAATTCTGCTTTCGTATGGCGAAAAACTGCGCCTTCAGCCTCGATGGATAATATCCACCACCTCGATCTGCATAATTCTTCACGTCACACTCAGCCTTATTCAATAATTGCTAAAATAGAATTAGGTCTCAGCTATCATTCATGTCAGTATCATTTACCTTTGTATTTTGTATCAATTTTGCAAATGCAGTTGAAAGATCCATGGATATTCTCACAATTGGACACATCGCCACAGTTGTGTAATCCGTCCTTACATTCATTGATGTCTACAAGGATGAATAAAAAAAATGAAAAACTAAAAAAACAAAACAAAAAAACAAGGTATTAAGCTTTAGCCGAATGAAGACCATTTCAAGCAAGGAGGTTGTTCTAAATTTAAGCTGATAGCGTTGACAAATGTAAGCCGATAGCAAAACAATAAGATTAGACAAATATGGAGGACTCTAGCAACAAGACAGACCTTGTGCGCTTTTGCGATTTTGCCGCCGCGCGAGAGATCGTGAAGTGAGCGAGCAAGACGGCACACCTAATCCGTACGGAATCCTTGCCCTGAGTCATCTTTAAATGGTCAGCATTAGATCCCATTGGCCGGAGCCCCTTTTTCCACATATGAAATTTACACAAGGTAGAACTTCTTTCTGCTTTTATATCACACTTAGATGATATTTCAAGCTGGAAATGTTCGTGGAAGTGCTAGTCTCTTCAATTTAAAAAATGATTATGGTAGACAGTAGGATCCGAACCCATGCACTAAGGAAGAGGGAGCACATGTAACGTTACCTTTTTGTTTCGAATTTTATTTGAACGTTACACTGTCTGTTCATGTTCAGTTGATGTTAACGAATATTTGCGTTGCACAGTTTCTTGAAAACTTTTGTAACACTTTAGTGCGACTTGGAGGCGAGGGAAGATCCTTTTCTTCAAGATTAGTCTTTTTCTTTTCTAAATATTTCATAGATCAAATTAGCTGTGCTGTGCTGTTAATTTTTCTCTCCAATTTTGATCTAGACACGTTCGGTTTCTCTTATTTACTTATTTATTTATTTGTTTAACGCGGTGCACATTCCGAATGAAAGGATTACGAAATCCTTTTGCTTGCTTGCGTTCATCTCCTGGTTCTGTGGGTGCTGGTATTTCTTGCTCAACTGACTGCTGGGAAAATTCGTCATTTGCCGCTGGATCCTCGACCACAGGTTTCTGATGTGGGGCAGTCCCTTTTCTCACTGCCGTTAAGGTCAGCATACCCTAAGCCTCGTCATCTGAACTGATTTCTGAGGCTGGGCTGGGGGTGGACAAAACAGCTGGTCTGGTAATTTTCCTTTTCTGCTTCGATCTCCTGGCTGGATCCTTTGTTTTTCTTTTAAAGGTTAAGTCATTGCATGGAAGTATCAGCCTGCTGTGTATCACACGACGCAGTACTTCGCCTGATTCAGGTTCAACGTTCAACTTCGTAAATGGGCTCTCTTCTCCTTTCCGCTTGATTAGTCGATAAATTGCCTCTTCCCAGTAAGATCGAAATTTTGCAGATCTTCCTCTTTCACGTACATTTCTCACTGAATCTGGCCGTAGAACAGGACTATGACCCTTGCGCTCATGATGCTTCTTTCCTTTCATCTCAGATAATCTAGATCTATTTGCTGCTAACTCGTGAGCCTCCTTCATGGCTATTTTCCATTTTGACTGACATAAGCTGAATATTCTGTGGGAGAAGCAGGCTTAATTCTAAAATAGGATAAATCGGAAGTCTTGGGAACTGACCACACAACAGGTAATAACGAGAGAATCCAGTGGTCTCATCACAGGGGCAATAATAGGCTTGTATAAATTGATTAAGACTGTCCTTCCATCGAGATTTCCGGTTTTCTGGCGAGGTGCGTAACATGGATAGAAGTGTCTGGTTGAGCCTCTCTTTCTTTCCCATTCCTTTGGGATGGTAGGGTGTTGTTCTGGATCGCATCATACCACAGCATCCCTCTAAACGATGGAAAAGCTGATTTGTAAATTCATCTGCTTTGTCGTGCTAAATTCTGGCAGGAAACCCAAACCTTCATATAAATTAATTGTTGTTGGCTGTTGTTCTAGCGGACTTGTGGGTGGTCGCATATCACGGGATGATCCCTCAGGGGCACCCAACGACAATTTTCGGAAAAATATCTGTTCGGAAGACGATTTGAGAACTAGAATTTTCGGAACATTTGTTGTAAAATTTCTTGCTTGCCTGCTTCTCCTAGGATTTTCGAACATCTAAAAAATGGTATAATTGCCTATTTTAACGGATTTTTTACCCGAAAAAGGTCACCTAGAATTTTCGGTAGCCTTTTTTCTGGCTGAAATTTTCGAAAAGGTAAGTTTTGATCCCTATAATTTTCGGATCACTAGACTTTCAGCTAGGAAATCCGAACAGATGAAAAAGTTTTAGGGGATAAACATATGCCTATATCTACCGTTTAAATACCAAGATACGTTTAACAATGCTATGTTTAAGTGGTTTTGAACTATATTCTCGTTGGGTACCCCTGATCCCTGCATCTTTGCATTTCAGTGAAAATTAGGACGTTCCCCTGTTGCTCTCTGACATTGAATGGCCATTTTGTTTCAGGCTCCTTAACAGTATCATGGAGAGGCTTTGCAATCCTTGAAATCTGCTCAATATATCTGCGATAGTAGTTCAACAGGACCTGTTAACTTTATCGAACGTTTCCAACAGTCCTTTTATTAGAGTCTGCTAGCTTAGTGACAGCTTCAGTGTTCCTGGGATCAATGGTGTGCTCTAACTGGTTAACAATTCTTCACAACAACCATACTTCACATGCGACTGGTGAAGAGTACCAAGCATGTAATGAAGTCTTCAAAGTAATGCTTGACTTCTGCATACATCGGGCGGAGTATAGAAGTACACGTCTTCTGAACTGGAGAGGTGCCTGATAGTTCTAAATTCAATTGTAGTCCCTCAATACATCCCACATCATCATCATCATCATTATTCTGAGCAAATGATTCGGCTTGCTCAGTCATCATTTTCATCGCTATTTTTGGCTGGCTCTCAGTAAGGTCACCTAGCTTCTCTTGTGGCGTCCTAAGAACTGTAATGTTCACTCTGTTGGGTATCCCTCGCGGCAAGGTGAGCAGTTGCTCTGAGACTTCTAATTCACCAGGTCAGGTTTCATCTGGGGTTGGCTCAAATAGCGCTGGAGTTCTTCTCCCTAGTGGACCACAACTGACATAACATAGTACCGCCACCGTCTGTCCCGCTGGTACTGTTAGACTGTTTATATACAACTCCTCAAAAACACAAGCTTTCTTTAACTTGATCTTGTACAAACTCCACCTATGCACTAACACTCTCCACATTCACATCCACCAAAGCAAAACTCATAATGTCAACAACTGCTACCTTGCTTCCTCTTTGTCCCTTATTCCTGATCATCTCTTCTATAACATCGTAACCATGAATGATTGGGTACACCAGCTTGTCCCTTGCAGCCAGGATCGGTACTGTTAGAAGTACAGACGCTTGAAAGTCAGGGATAAGTTGGAATTCTACTTCCACCCGTATTACTCCACCATTTGCTGCTCTTAAGTCCAGCAGTCCTTCACCCTTCCTAACGTATCTTCAATCTTCCTTAACTGTAAAGATGGTAGATGCTCACTAAACCCGCTCTTTTATACTATGGACATTTGAGTCCAAGTATCCCACAATACCTCAACTTACTTATGAAATACCTCAACAGTCACCACCACTCAACATACACAACACTTTACACTTCATACCAACAAGCCTGGCTACTCTTAACTGCTGCGTAGGTGTAAGATGGCTGACAAATACATAAGCATCACCACGTATTACTTGAGAAGCTCTCTGTGCCTTCAGTTGCTGGATGCTTGACAAAGGCACTTTTGACTGCTGCGATGGCGTTTCTGACATTGACGTCCACAATACCGCACTACCTTGCATCCTGAGCACTGCATAAAGGCATTGACCAGGCCTAGCAACTTTCTGACAGTTCAAACGTTTGTGGGACATACTGAAGGTGTCCTTAGGTGGGGCTACTTACGTCCCTCGGTTGTAGCCCTCGTCTGTTTTCTTGACCTGATTTTTCACTGCTACTATACCTTTTTACGACAGAAACGAGCCGAGTGATCGCTGCTACCACAAACATGAGAATGGTAACACAACTTCCCTCTCCCTCCTGCTTGACAACTGGGACAGCTTATTGGTCGTTGATCCATTGCTGATTCTGATATCCTGGTGAGGCCTCAGAAACCCGTCCTGCATTAGCTTCATTCCTTTTCACTGATTCTAGCTTCAGGGTGGCGAGCAGCTTGTGGTGCAGCCATGAACTTCTCTTTCCTCGACCTCTCTTTCTCAGCTACTTTCACCTTTAGGTCAGTCGCTTCCGGTTGAGCAACCCCCTCTACTCGTGATACATCAACCTCATTAACCGTGGAACTTTTTTGACCGTCAGGGGATCCTAACTTGGATCTCCTCTCCATATCCCATGACACCACGACATTCATGAGCTTGATTAAGTCTTCATCCTGTACCCCCGGTTTTGTAAAAAGAGCCTTCATCTACTGCGGATTGAATGCTCCATAAGATTTGTATCTATAGCTACTGCAAGAGAAAATATCCCCTGAGCCAGGTTAGGGTCGCACTTAAGTGCAGTTTCTACTTTGTGGCAAAAAGGATCCTTTTTTTAGAGTCCAAGTTCTGATAGGAAAGTTTTTGTGGACTCCCCTGTTGCTCCTGTTAATTTTTGTTAAAGTTCCGTTGCACTATTCTCCTGGTAAAGAGATCTCAAGAGGTGTCTTAACCAAGACAGAGTCTCCCAGCCCTTCTAAATAACTTTTCAGTCTCATCCCAGAGTTAATGGCCATAAAACAGCATCTACAACTTCGGAGGACTTATACACTTTGTTTATCGCCCCTTCAATTTGTCTCGCTAGGCTCACAAAGCGTAGTTTTTCTTTCTGTCCAAGCTCCCCTGTCTGGCCAATTATTTTCAGCTCCGTTCTGAAATCACTAGGCTGGAAGTAAAACGATTTTCCGGCTACCAATTTCTGTTTACTCTCTTCAAAATTCTGCTTACTATCGTTTAATTCGTGCTTACCATTTTTCGGCGGTGACTGAGAATTGCTTAATGCTGGCTTTTCCAGTGACGGACATTTCGGGCTGTATATCACAATTTGGGTCTTACACTCCTCCAAGTGCTCTATTTTGTCCTCGGTAGTTCCTTGTAATTTCAACTGATCTTCCAGTCGCAGTTCGATTAATGTCACCTGTTTTTTCCGACCTTTTCCCCCTCCACTTCGCTTTGGCTACATTCTAAGTCTTTAGCAATTCCTTTGAGGTCCTCCACACCAAGCTGGCAAAGGTAGCTTTGAACTTGCATATATTTGTGCATCATCGACTTGCATTGTTTGCTTCGTTTGATCAAACCACTACCCTCAGCTCCTCGCGACCATTCGCCACCGTTCCCGGCAAGTACATGAACTCGTTCCTCAATGCTTTTTTTTTGGTTTTCTTCCTCTCTTGGACAGGCCCCCAAATAAACATCGCAAAACAACAAGACGAGAACAATATGGCGGACTCTCACAACAATATAAAACCTCGTGCGTTTTATTAGCCATACGTACTTAAGTTACAATTGCATTCTTGAGGCGGGGGGGGAAGGGGTCTTATTTCCTACTCGCTACATTTGTAAGAAATGAAAATCATCCCAGCAGATGGGCAATATGCAGTCAAGGTTGGAATGAGGGATCAGCAGACATGCGCATGCCCGCAAAAAGCTGACAGTAGTCTCTCGGGTTGTGGGTGGAATGCAGTATGGCAAATGTACCCTATAAGAAAAGTCCTATATGACGGAGGACTCTGCCATCGTCAGGTATTATCGGGATACCATTAAACCCTTACCTAGACCTTGAAACAATACTATATCACAAGGAGAATGAAAACACTCCAAAAAAATCCTGGCCCACGAGGCTTGTAATGAATAAGAAAATGGATGTCCGGATTATGAGTCAGGACAATGTGCTAACACCAATTGACACAGAAATCAACAAAGTCAACCGGACCGGCGAGCCCGCTTACCTTCGTCGCAGTTTTCGCCTTTGAAACCATCACGGCAAATCCATCGGTAGCACTTATCTCCTTGGCCTACCTTACAGATGGAATTCTTTCCAGGGCGTGGGACACTGTGAAACAAGTTCTGTTGAAAAACATAATTTAATTATTCAATAACATCTTCTCTCCTCAGACCAGATAATCCATGAACTTATACAATTATAAAAATAGGATGCGAGGTTATCATTGTTAGTGATGTTGATTACTTGCAAAAAGTTTGCAGATGTCTCTCTTTCTTTTTTACGTCTTAATTTATGTTGCTGACTTGTACTTTTGTCTTGCATTAATAATCACCAGCTTCAGTTTTATCCAATACATATCAACGCTATTCTGAGTTAAAGTTGAACAACTTTAATTTAAAACCGTTCAAGAAGTGACGAGCGCCAAACTTAAAATTGCCCGGGAATTTTCCATAAAGACCTAGCCTGTACACAGACGTTGTTTTATTTTTCTTTTCGTTCTTTTCGAAGACATTGGCGAGCCCGCTAGCAAAACGAGCGCTCGAGAACTAGCGCGGAGCGGGAGAAAGAATTTTATTCTTCCCCCAGCACTACCCCCTTGCGCTGGCGGTCAATAAATCCCCTGCCGTCTATTTTCTACCACCCGCGCTCTACGGACTTTGAAGAGAAAAAAAAAGGTCTTTGAACGGGCTAATAATGACCCAAAATGGCAAATGTTGGGTTCAATTTTTCACATTGTTCATTTCCCTCGGAATTTTATCACTTGCAGATTTTTTGCTTCCTTTCATACATACATCAAATTTCATATCCAATGGCCCAGATTTATACTGTTTTCAAGCAAAATGACAGCAGATCCAAGCTTGTGGATGATGAATCCAGTTTCGTCATTAATAATAAATGACGTAATCTTAACTTCACTGCTATTGTTAAAGTGTTAGCGGCCTTCATGATTTTGTCAGACATTTTATGTGGGGAAAACTGATGAAAGTCCATTACGTCATTGTGTTAATCAAGATATGCCCAGATGCTGGAAATGACTTCTCCATTATTCTGTGTAATTTTGGTAGCCTTCTCGTGAGGGGTTTTAAAGTTATAAGTCATATCATTATTAATATTGTTGTAATGTGTTACCTCAATTGAACAGTGAATGTGGCCTGTCTTTTCCTGCAACTTCGTCTGAGATGGACTTTCATCTCTAAAGTTGTTTAACTCGCAGATGCGCTGTCCTTGGTGGTCGGCAGGACCCACATTTATGGACTCACAGTTAGGCTCCAAGAAACACTTCTTACGGCAGCTTCCTACATTTGCCACTTTCTCTGTCCTTATCACGTGACCCGGAAGTACTTTGCCTTCTACCGGATCCTTGAACATTAAGATGCGATTGTGCTCTGTCGCAACTACTGTAGAGAAAAATGTATTGAATTGGGCAAAGGTTTTGGCGTTTTCTTAACTGAAACAATCTCAAAATATATACTTAAACATGAAACAGCTGTATGAATCGGCTGAACACTTATGTTTACAAATTCACTTAAAAAAATATTTTCTTTACAAATTCAATTCCAAGCTTAACATAAAGTTATGACGTCTATGCATATGTTCTTCAGCGCATTAGTAACTAGGACCAGCCAGCAGCCCTCACAAACCCCCACCCGACAAACAGCGTTGGACGCGTGCATGCAGAATTTCGAGTTTCAACATTATATAACGTGGGGGGGGTGGGGAGGGGGAGACTGCAAGGTATTTCCAAAAATTAGCGCTGTTTTATGAGAGCATCAAAAAATTACAGATAATTCCGAATAAACGTGTAGTTTAAAGTAGCATGTGTCCGCATTGTTTAAGACATTGTTTTCTTTTTCAGAAATTTAATCCATTTGTCTCTCGCCTTTTACATATAGGAATTTTTAAAACTGTTTGCTTTAGAATTTTAACAACCGCCCGGGAAAAAGAAGACGCCGTAGAGTGCCTAGACCTGCATAGAGCTGACAGCCTATTTTGAGGAGGAATTAACACACAGATAAAGAGAGAAATTAAGTTGGTTAAAATGTCGAGTTTTTTGCTCCCAATTCAATGTAAAGAAACCCTATTCTTAAGTCCAGCTTTATTGAGGCGCTGTTTTGAAATGCATATTCATAGACTAAAAATGTAGATTTTTTTTCAAAGTGATATCAACTCAACTATACTTTCTTAAATGGACTACTTTTTAATGGTGTTTTGCTAGAGGTCTATACAAGCAGATAACATTCTTAGGACAGACAGTTATGTATTTTTGTCACTTTTCACTGAGTACTTTGTTAGATGGGGGCGCTGTACAGGCTTCCACGACGAAGAAAATGGCACCCTTTATAAGCCCTTTAAGTTATTGCTCTTTCATGATTTTCTTTTAATTTGACGGTTCTTATTTCAATTCAAATTTCAAATTTAATAAAGAAAGTAATACATTAAGTAACGTATTTTTTTTTCTATGCCATTTCTAGGATTAAAAGTATAGCATGTGCAAAATGCACTGTCTCCTTCTTAAACCACTTTGAGTTCTGAACAAAGTACTAAACATTTGACATACCAGCGTACAACAAGGTGCCAATTCCAAATGCAAGCATCACGATGAAAATCACCGTTCTTATGGAAAAAGCCATGTTCTCTTTTTAGTGCAGTTGATGTTCACGCTGTAGTCTGCGGTCATCAACTATCTCTGCAAAGAAATAATCTATTTTAGTTACTTAGCATGCGATAATACCCTACTTTAATTCTGGTTCTAATATAATTAATAAATCATAAGAAGTTTGGAAAGATTCCCAAATTGGTCCTAAGTTTTAACTCGGGGCTTTTAAAGAGTAGCTAAATTTTATTCAAGTTATTTTCATCATTTCCCTCC